AGCTCCCTTTGACTCAGTGCTTAGTTGAAAAGTTATTTGGTGATTTACTTTCTCAAATCCAGTTTTTATTATTGAATCCATATTAACAGTAATGCTGTAATTCAATAATATATTTATTTGTATTTACGCTACATCAACGTTTACCTTTTAATAACTTACCGACATAACCTCAATCTTACTTTTTCTTCTTATTCTTTTTTGGGGTCACGTCCTTGACAGTTATCCGGTTACCTCGATCTAACATAAAAGCGCAGTAAATTTTGCTGATTTACGACACCAGGTGTCGCTGTTCCGAACTTGCACGGTCCCAATACATATTTTATGTACTTACGCAAAAAAATTCTCAACAAATATTGACATTTATTAGAATTTTGTTACAATAGTATACAATAAATTTCAAAATAAACTATTTTAATAATAAATATAAAAATAAATAAAATAATAAATTACAAAAGTTAATAAATTACAAAATTTTTATAAATATCAATATTTGTTGGTATTTTTTCACGTACATAATAATAAGTACATATAATTATTAATATAACTGCGACAAGGACGCATCATATAGTGCGCACCGTGGTAGCTTAAACATTAAGTGGATGCCCATAATTAACAATTAAAAAACAACAGTATAAACTGAAATAATCCTCGATAGCTCAACGAAATCTTGAAACGAAATGTGGGTACTTGGCAACTTCAAAATAATAATTTACATAATTTTATACAAGTTTTCAAGACCCAAAAATGCGTATTCTCGCTTATAACTCGAAAACTTTCATGTTTAAAAAAAATGACGAAAAAAATTTTTTTGTTTAAAATAACACAACAAATCCAAAAATATATATTTTGGAGAAAAAAAATAGATTCTTGGAATAAGTTAAAAAAATATATGTAAACAATTTCTGCCCGAAAATTACGAACGGAACCCTTCAGATATATTTAAACATTTAACATATAACATTTTTCCTACGGGAGCGGGACTGAAATGGACTAAAGAAGGTGTTGTCTTTTATTATAAATAAAATAATAAACGATTAAGGACAAAGGTAAAAACAACTTTTTAACAAGAAAACTAATTACCATCATTGGGCATCAATGATACATCACACCAAAGTTCAAATAAATAGAGAATGGGAATCTCAAATAAAATAAAATTATTTGTTTAATATTATTATCAATAAATTCCCATTAAAAACATAGAAATTTATTTTCATTTATTTATATTGGGGTTTTTTATTTCTTAGTGTAGAAATTTTTTCTACCTACACAGTGTTGGTGATGCTATACGCCAACGGAGGCCACATATCCTTATAATTGCCCCGAAGTGAATGGACAACGATGATTTCCAGTCTGTTTTTTTTTTTATATTTTCGGTTTCATTAAAGTTCACGTAAAGTTCGCTGTACATCATTATAATAAAAACGAAAACGTTGAATAATTGCTTTATTGGACATCAAAATTTTCTATGAATAAAATATCACTTTTATGGCACCGACA